GGGTTTGCTTACATCACTAGAGGAATTTTAAGGCAGTTTCATTCAAGGCTGCAAAAATCTATGCCTCTGACAAAACATAACATTTAAAAGTAAGCCGGCCTCCAAACATCCCCAAACCAACAAATCACTGAGCTAATCAAGATGGCGCCCAGGGTCTGATGTCATTACCCAGGGGCCCTCACAGACCTCTGGAGCTTAACTAGTGAGTATTGGCTGTTGTGAGGGCCTCCCCTTCACAAACATCAGACACTGTCTTGGGAGAGCAAATGCACATTAGAAGACAACAAAATAGGACTCACTAACTCATACCACAAACAGTATTACAGAAAACACAGGGCCAGTTGTGGGAGGTCCCTCATGGGCACCCAAATGAAGCTTAAAAATAGGCAGGGGTAAGCTCCGTCATTCCTCCTGTGGTTACGACCTGGATGAGGCTTCCTGAGCTCGGGCGGTTTTTCCCCATGATCCAGTCGTGGAAGGTTCTAGCACAAAGAAGAAGAGTTTTAAATGTCAAAGCAGAAAATCTGGGCACATGCTTACTTATACTCATATCTATGGCCTACGAGAACGGGAAGGTACAGATACCAGCTGTGATAGCCCCATGACATGTTCTGGACACACACCCAAGTCCCCAATGATTCCAGTACTGCCCTCAGTCCAAATCTCTGAGCGGCAGGATTTGGCATGATTTTAGCTTTCAATGTTTGTTAAGATTCTACCTTCCTGGAGACTTCTTTCTAATATGGTGGTTTGATTTTCAGTGGGAGTCCCTGAGAGGCACAAATGGTTAAGTACCCAATTACTTAGTCAAAAGGTTGGATGTTCAAATCCACTCAGGGGATTCTTAGAAGGCAGGCCTACTGGTCTACTTCTAAAAGGTCACAGCCTTGACAACCCTATAAAAGCACAATTCTACTCCGCACACAGGGCATTACGAGGAGCTAGAAATCAACTCAACAGTGAAGCAAATCCACTGCCGTCGAGTTGATTCTGACTCTTACAGTTCTGGAGACTATAAATCTTTATGGAAGCAGACAGTCTCATCCCTCAGAGTGGCTGGTGGGTTTCAGATACCCACCTTGGGTATAGCAGTCCAGTGCTTATTCCACAGCATCACCAGGGCTCCTGAGAGGCTGTATTATGTCAGGGCAGAGAAGTGGCCCTGAAGAGCGCAAGTCATACTTAGATGCATATGGGTATGTTGTTAGATGCTGTCAAGTCGGTTTTCGACTCAGTGACCCTTTGTGACACAATAGTTAGGCACGCTCAGCAACCAACCAGAAAGTCGGTGATTCAAACTCACCAGAAGTACCAAGGGAGAAACATGAGGCTGTCTGCTCCCAAAAAAGATGAGTTTTGTTTTTAAATGTGCTATCTAGTCAATTCCAATTCACAGGAACCCTGTGTAGTGTTTCCAAGGAGTAGCTGGTGGGTTTGAACCACCAACTTCACGGTTAGTAGTCTAGTGCTTGTCCTATAGCATCAAACCAGGACTCCATAAAAATTACAGCCTAGAAAAACTTACAGGGCAGATCTACTCTGTCACACGGGTCACTAAGAGTTAAAAATGGACTCAATGGCTCCTAACAGCAAAAGCAACAGGGGTATGTATGGTCATTATGTAGGTTTTAGATTATCTTGTTTCCCCTCCATGTTTAGCAGTTGGTAGTAGGTGAGAGGCAGAGCTTTGGTAGCGTAGTGGTTACGAATCAGGCTGCTAATTCAAGGTCAGCAGTTCAAAACTACCAGCTGTTCCACGGGAGAATGAAGAGGCTTTCTGCTCCTGTAAAGATTTACAGCCTCAGAAACCCTGTGCAGGGTCACTATGAGTTGGAACTGACTCCACGGCATACCAACAGAGGGTGAGAGAGAGTCCCACTCTAACCATCGACGTAACTCATAGACGTCTTGGAGTGAACTTCATGACAATTTCTCAGGAGCATTTTCAAATACCACAAATGGGTGAATACGATTTCTAGAACAAAGAATGCTAGCCACAGCCCACCCTCTATAAGTGTGTTGTTGTTGTTGTTGTTGTTAAGTACTGTAAAGTCGGTTCTGACTCATAGTGACCCTGCATAGGGTTTCCGAGGCTGTAAATCTTTACAGGAGCAGACAGCCTCATCTCTCTCCCACGGAACCGCTGGTAGTTTCGAACTGCTGACCTTGAGGTTGGCAGCCCGACTTGTAACCACTATGCTATCAGAGCACGGCAGGCATACTTCATACATGTGACTTCACTCGCTGAAGTTAGGTCACCTGTGGTGCATATGGACGGCTCCTCCTCAGCACCTTCATCTTCACCTTGAGATGTCACCTTGAGGACTAAGATGCACCCTGACTCAGGCAGGCCAAGGTATTTTCAATCAACTCATGTGCATGTGAAAACTGGACAAGGGAATAAGAAAGGCTGGAGAAGAACTGCTTATGGTGTTGGCGAAGAATATTGACTATACTATGGACTGTGGTGGTTACGAAGCGGGCTGCAAACCTCAAGGTCAGCAGTTCGAAACTAGCAGCTGTTCCGCAGGAGAGAGATGAGGCTTTCTGCTCCCGTAAAGATTTACAGCCTCGGAAAGTCTGTACAGGGTCGCTATGAGTTGGAACCGACTCTACGGCACGACCACCACCACCACCATGGACTGCCAGAAGAACAAACAAATCTGTCTTGGAAAATGTACATCCTTCCTTAGAAAGGAGGATGGAGAGACTTTATCTTCGTAATTTGATATGTTGTCAGAAAGGACCAGTCCCCGGAGGAGGACATCGTGCCTGGTAGAGCGGAGGGTCAGTGAAAAAGAGAAGACCCTCAATAGCTGGATTGGTACAGTGGCAGCAGCAATGGACTTATACATTGGCGTGGGACTAGGCAGTGTTTTGGTCTGTTGTCCGTAAGGACTGTTTGTGCCACTAAGGGACTCCCACTTAAAAATCAAACCACCGCATTTTAAATTCTCCAAAAAGGTAGAAACATACAAAAATATGAGAGCTAACAGACCTTAGTGGAGATGCTGTTGCTGATAACTACCACTGAGTCAGTTTCAACTCATAGCGACACTGTACAGGGTTTCCAAGGAGTAGCTGGTGAGTTTAAACCATCGACCTTGTGGTTCAAACAGACCTTGCAATCCAATGCTTTATCCCACAGCACTGTAATAAAAGAGCTGAAGTGTACTGAGCACTTGCTATGGACTGGACACTGTGCCAAGTACTTGATAAGCACTGCCACATTTAATCCTCTGTGTGTTGGCGAAGCGTTGGTAAAATTCTCACCTTCCCTTCAGAAACCCGGGTTCAACTCCTGGACAATGTGTCTCCTATCAGTGGAGGCTTGCATATTGCTATGATGCTGAACAGGTATCAACAGAGCTTTCAAACTAAGATGAATCTCCTCATCTCCTTCCAAAACCCAGCCAAAGGAAACATGGATCCCAAAAGTCCAGTTTCATGGTGCATGTGGGTAGTGGTCAGGAGTCATGGGCCAAGTCAATGGCAGCTAAGGACAGCATCACTACAGACCTCATTATACAGAAACAAAACTGCGGTCCAGACTGGTTCAACAAGATCTTCAAGATGGTTGACTGGTGAGTAGGGGAGCCTGGACTGACGCTGGCATTGCTGACTCTTTTACGCTGTGGCCTGTCACCATACTCAGACCAGGGTGCCTGACAACCTCACAAAGACCACCCAGACCACCCGTGTTGATAACCCAAGAGAACACAGACTTCTCTTCAGGCCTATAAAAGCCGAGAGAAGAAGATAGAAACTGCTCAGTCACAAAATCTGTGTGATACTCACTCCACCAGGAATTCTAAGGGTGTCCAGGAGCTGAAGTCGGCCTCGGGCATGGACTTCCTGTTCATCGGGGTATCCAGGGTTACCCTGTATCACACAGAGATAAGGGTTTTATTTATACATCGCCTCTCTAAAAACAGCTACCCGGCCTCCTGCTCTGGCCAGAGGGCCCCAAACAAGGACAGGAAAATGAAACCCCACAGGGTCTCCACCGTGAGTCTCGAGATCAAGGACAACAATAGTTACAAGGGGGAGATCAGACAATGAGGAAAAACAGGCAGAGAAGTGTCCCCATAGAGCCTAATTCACTGAGGTACCCGTAACTCTCACTTTAGACAGATAAGAACAGAATGAAAGAGCCACAGTTTGCTTCTTTATTCAGGTCTAGAACTGAGCTCTGAGGTCAGCTGGAGGACTAAGGGGCACCTGACCCAAGCCATGGTATTTTCAATAACCTCATATGTATGCGAAAGCTGGACAGTGAATAAGGAAGACCGTAGAAGAATTGATGCTTTTGAGTTATGGTGTTGGAGGAGAATATGTGAAAGTGCCATGGGCTGCCAAAAGAACCAATAGATCTGTGTTGGAAGAAATGCAGCCAGAGTGCTCCTTGGAGGCCAGGATGCCCAAACTTCGTCTCTCATACTTCAGACATATTGTCAGGAGGAACCAGTCACTGGAGAAAGATATCATGCTTGATAAGGTGGAGGGTCAGGGAAAAAGAGGAAGACCCCCAGCAAGATAGATTAGCAAAATGCCGCATCAATGGGCTCAAGCATGACAACAATAGTGAGGTTGGCCCAGAATCGGGCAGTGTTTCGTTCTGTTGTACATAGGGTTGCTATGAGTCGGTACCGACTTGATGGCACCTAATAACAACAAGAACTGAGCTCAACTTTCAGCCAAACAATAAACTGGTCTATAAGAGATCAGCAACACTAGGGAGGTATGCACATCTTAGAATAATCAGCCATTTGAAATCCAAAGAGCAGCATTTACCTTACCCAAAGACCAAGGTCAGAAGGATTAGGACAGAGGGAGGAATGGAAACAGGAAACACAGGAAGTAAGTGGGCTAAGTGAGGTTTCATTGTGGGGTCTGCCATCAATGACATGAAACAAAATGTGTATGAACTGTCAAATGGATAACCAATGATCATGTTCTGCAAACCTTCACCCAACAGAGATCGATAAATAAATGATAATCTTTAAACAGCAGCTCATTTCTAAGAATTTCCTTAAGGGGCTTCAAAAAGTTCATGAGAAAATGAAATGAAAAGATAATGGAATTTTTCCACAAACTTTTGAAGTACGGGAAAAAAGACAGCCTCATCCTTCCTTGTATGGCTGTTTCTCATGAAATCTTCTGATTTTTCCGCAAGTGGATACAAAATTCAGATCCGTACAAGTCACTCTAGAACATTCAGTTCTCAACAATCACTTAGACAACTGGGGAGCCAGGCCACAGGTTCACAGACCCATCCAATGAAGGGGAACTGGAAAGTTCGTCCAGCCAGTGCCCCCAGCAGACCCAGCATCTGCCCCCAGAACAGCTGCCAAGAGAGGAGCAAGCAGCCCTCAGCAAGAAGGGATGGTCCACCTCCAAACCCTCCATCAGCCTTAGGGGGAAAAGCATGGCCGTCAGTGTCCATAAAAATTAGTCTCAAAACAGTGACGCCAGAGAAGGAGGCAGAGACGATGATGTGGAGAGATGGAGCGGCTGGGAACTGTAGACACAGAGAGGGAGAGGAGCTGTGTGCTGATGACCAGGGGGCAGGCTTGCATGGTGTACCATTTGGTTGGTTGATGATGCATGGAGGGGATTGTAACCATGGCAATGTAACAATATGATATATGTAAAGCTAATGCTCTCCCATGTAAAACTATCACATAATTCACAATAAAATATATATTTTTTTTAATTCAGTCTCAAAAACCCTATGGGGACAGTTTTATCCTGTACCACAAGGTCACTATGAATGTGGGAATCCACTCACAGTATGTTTGGTTTGGGGGTTTATGATTGTGTCTTCCAGTTCTGGGGAGCAGAGGACTCTCCGACAATCGGTATCACTTGGCAGTGGGATGGGAGGGCGCAGCTGGGAGCCCGATACTCACGGGAGCACCGCGATGGCGGCCGAGTCCGAGGGCATGCCGCTGTTGTTTCCCGCGAGGCTCTGACAGAGCTGGTGCACAGCGCCCTTGGCCATGCCGTAGCCAATCATCCCTGGATAAGAGAGGTCATGACAAGGAATGAACTGTGTCCCAAAAAATGTGTGCCAAAACCCCAACCCCAATCCTGGTTCAGAATGGGGTTTTCTTTGTTCTGTTAATGAAGTCTTATGAGTTGGGGTAGGTCCTAAACCTTATCACTTCAGGGTCACAAAAAGCAGATTAGACAAAGATGTGGGCTCGACCAGGAAGAAGACAGGCAGACGCAACTGGACAACGACACAAGTAAGTGCATCTATGGCCCAGGAACCCCAAAAGTAAGGGCTACCAGAAGCTGAAATCAACAAGAGAAGACCTTCTTCTAGAGCCACTATCCGGAGTTGCTCCTTCTGGAGTGATGAGAAAATAAGTTTCTGTTCTTGATAGACACCCACCTGCTCCACTCATTCGGTTAGGAAAATGAATGAGTTAACGTGTGAAACCATGTGACTCCCTGGAAACGTCATAAACAACTAGGCCTAGGTCTCCTTTCTCAAGCCAATTGTCTCCAACCCCCAAAATGGAGAGCGGCCATAGAAAAAGAGGGTATAGGGCAGGTGATCTGGGGACTATGGCCTTCCTGGTCATGAGTTCCCAAGAACATGAGCGCCACAGAGGTTACAACTTCCACTGAGGACTGGAGAACACCAGGTCAAACATGTCAGGCCAGAAGGAAGGCTGCAGACGAGAAGGAAGGTATGAGCTTCGCGTCATGAAATCCAGGAGGCTGGTCTTATTTTTACCGTGAGGAAACTGAGACTTGGGCAGGTTGAATAAGTACTAATGGGCTGAATTATATCCCCCAAGAAGACAGGTTGAAATCTTGAGTGCTAGTTCCTGTGAATGAGACTCTGTTTGGAAATTGAGCTTTGCAGACGTAATCAGGTAAGTTTGCATGAGGTCATACTGGAATAACATGGACCCTAAACTATCATTAGTGGTGTCCTCATTAGAAGAAAAGTAAAATACAGAAACACCGAGGGGAGACATCATGTGGAAGAGATGCATCTTCAAGCCAAAGAACACCAAGGACTGCCAAGAATGGCCAGGGGTAAAAAATTGGTGTATATGGGGCTTTTTTCCCAGTAAGTAAAGAGGTCACATAACCTCTTGAAACATTTTATAATTTAATGTGAATTTTTAAACTTTCAATATGGATTAGAAATTTTAATATTTTTTAAAAAGGAAAACTGGTTAGGTGGTTATTTGATATTTGTAATTCTGAGTACAATTGGTTCCGTATTTTGGTAAGGAAGGCCATAAATTTTTACCTGCTGCTGCTGCTGTGTGCCATGGAGTCGGTTCTGACTCATAGTGACCCTGTACAGGGTTTCTGAGGCTGTAAATCTCTATGGGAGCAGAACGCCTCATCTTTCTCCCACGGAGCAGCTGGTAGTTTCAAACTGCTGACTTTGTGGTTCGCAGCCCAATTCGTACCCACTATGCTACCAATTTTACGTTGTTGTTGTTGTTGT